GGGTTCCACAGGGCTCTGACTTGTTGAAGGAAATGGTCTTACACTTAACTTCAAGAAGTTCAAATGAGGAACCTAAAACAACATTTAGGCCAGCACAGTGAGTGGTTAAGTCAGTACAGCTGCCCCATCAGTTAGAGTGTAGAGCACACACTGGGTGCTCAGTGGTCTCAGCATTACCTTTATCCTGTGAGCCACGAGGTCACCTCATGCCTGGATTTGGATTTATCTGCCTGAAATGGATGGGTGCCATTTCTGCCTTCCAGATATAATTTGTCAGAACTGTTCTGCTGGAAGATGTACGGAACATTTTTTCAGATTACTCCCTTGCCGAGCTTTCTTAACTTTTCACAGACTAATCCGGCACATGGTGATGACAGGCTGCAGTGGGAGCAGGCGTGTGCTCATCACAGGCAATACCCAGCAGAGCTAATGACCCAGTTGCTAAACCCAGTACCCTTGAGTTCTGGGTGTCTACTCTTTTCTTTCAATGAGAAAAGTTCATTGAAAGGATGACTGTGCAGTGACCTCTGGGTCTCAATGTGCAAATCAGAAAGCTTGAATCATCGTGCCACTTCAGATCAGTAGTAACATCCGAGGAAGGCCCGTGCATTGAAAGGCTTTGCCTCTGAAATCCTGTCCCTGGACAGGTGTGTCTGTCGTGAACAGTCTGACTTTACACATGTGGTGCATCTGCTCCAAACACCACTGCAAATTGGTTCCTTTCCTTGCCCCAGAAGAGACTGACAGCATTTTTCTGAGAATAGGAAGAATCCCCTCCATTTGGACATTTATTGGTGATCCATCTCAGCATACCTGTCTGAATGTCACAAGAGCAGAGTTCTCCAATGCCCAGAGGAGCCTTTATGGACAACGCTTCTAGCTTCCATGCCTCCATATAGAGCACTTAAAAGAAGCAAAGAAGAAGCTCATAATTCTGTAGATGTAGGAGAAAAGTTGGCATCCATGGTTCCGATGTCCTCCATGGACCTGAGAGGGTGTGACGTTCACTCTCAGTGCTCCCACTCTGCAGGGCATCTTTCCCTTGCTTCCATCCACTCACTTTCATTTTGTCGTTGTCAATCCCAGGTTGCCAGAGACGGGCTCAGGCATTCTGATTCTTCTGCTCTCAACCTGGCTCATACTATATACCCATGAACCACTTGAATCTGCCTATTTCCAATGAGGATACTGAGTCAGAGAGAGCTAGTATTGGAATAGACCACAATAGCCAGCCCCCTGCATTGGGAGTTCCCAAATGGCAGTTGCTCAGCATCTGTTCAAGAGAAATTCTTGCTGCAGGTAGAAGGTGGGACTTGGGTTTTACTTCCTGATTTAAAACAGACTTTGTCAGATACCGGCTTTGAACTGTCTGTCCTCCTGCTTTAGACTCCCGAGCTGCTATAACTACAGGCGTGCACCACCGTGCCCAGCAAATTATGACACTCTTAACCTTGACTTGAGGATATTTTTTATTTTTATGAATTACAAACAGAGGTTTTTGTTTTTGTTTTTGTTTTTTTGTCTCCTTCAAAAGTGGTGTCTCTGTTGACTTTTTTCTTAGCCTCTGTCCCTCTCATCTGGGCATGGACTCTGGTCCCTGGGTCATGATGTGTTTCAGTGTTGGGATGGCTTCTGAAGGGAGGAAAGGTGACAATATGGGCTAGAAGTCAGGGTAGGGTGGGGAAGGAGCAGGCACACTGCACATGGCAGCCTGGTGGCTAGTCCCCCTCCTGTCACTCCCTGGCCGTGAGACCTGCAAATGATGTGCCTTGAATCCTGCTTCCTCCCCTGTAAGGTGGAGAGAGTGCCTCTCCCGGGTGGCTGTGAGCTGTTCAAGAGCCACATGACTGAGTGCCTGGCTGCCTTCTTCAGTGCTCCTGGGGATGGTCACTTCAGTGCAGTTTCCTCACAAGACTCAGCTTGAAGTCCCATGAGGGTCTTCTGGCTTTAAATGGTCAGGGGTCTGTGACTTGGGACTTAGGTTTAAAATAAATTCATATTTTAAGTGAAGCTTCTATTTTGCGTCAGTTCTTTCAAATGCATTCTTACATGGGATTTGGTACTGAGCAGCATCTGGCTCTCTGAGCTCTCGGGAACACTAGTACTGGGTGTGGTGTGTGGACCAGCACTCCCTGTCTGGTGGTGAACACATTTGTTCAGGTGTCAGTGCAGCCATCAGTTGTTCCTGCTCCTCTTGGTGGCCTGAGGCCCAGGTGGGGTCTCTGCTGCCTGCCTGTGCTGCTTCTCCAGGCCTTCCCTGCTGTGCTCCACAAGATCGCCCAAGGGACCGCAGAAGTCACGAATTTAACCTTATTTTGAACCTTACTTGAAGGATTTGAGGCCCAAAGAGGTTATAGGATTTGTCTAAGGACTTTCATTAATTGACAGCAGGAATTGGGATTTTTAAAAAGATATTTCCTGGATCCCTCAGCTGAAGTTAATGTTTGGCAAGGTGATTGGTGAGATGCATCTCCCTTGGTGGTATTTTATATGGAACCAGAGGTTTTCAAGTTTTGTAAGTGTATTTTACTAGTTTTTAGAACACCATTAGCAAACTGGAACATTCTTTGACAAAATTGTGAAAGTCATGTTAAAATAGTAGACTGTTTTTTGAGGATGTGTTGTGTGTTTACTGGACATTTGTGAAGCTGCCAATTGTCTATTTCAGAATACTCAAAAAGTAACTGATGCTTTTCTCAGTCCCCGTTCACTGTAGTGTATAAAGTCTAGTGAAATTGGGTTTCCCGCTCCAGGTGAGTAGTGTGAGTCCTGGGCACTGCTCCTGTAGGACCAGAGCTCTGCATTCTCCTCACTTGTGTCCATGGGTTTTTAAAGGCCACACCTGCTCCTGTGGAGGACCAGGTGCGGCCCATCACTGACCAGCACTCCCCGGCAGATTGTTTGTCTACACATGGGGACAAGTAAGACTTGTGTGCTGGTACCTCGGTAGCTTGTCTTGTGACCTGCTGAGCTTGATGTGAGTGGCTTGGGGTTCCTGAGCTCTGTCACCAGAAGAGCTGGTTAGGAACAAACCTATCTTCTGGGATTACAAAGAGCCTCTGAATTCAGCAATTGACTCAAGAATCTTCTTGGTGTGATTGCTACCAACTGTTAGCTCCCCCAACTAAACTATTAAAAGCAAGGATTAAGGAGGCAGTGATGGCTGGGCAGGATGAGGAGACTAGGATCTGATGTGGCAGAGCAACCATCCTGAGACCTCTGCTGCCTGGGTGGACCGCCCTCCCAGCACTCATGCTCCGGATGGTCATGAAGGGTGCACTTACATGGGCATCGAGGTCCTTCTTGTCCATCAGCATGATGGGGCAGCACCGAGAGCCTGGAGAAGGTGCCTCATGCCACCACGCAGAACCTCAGCACCTAGTCAGCACTGCAGGGATAGAAAGGCCAGGTGACCTCATTTTGTCTCTCAGAGCAGCTATTTTTTTATTCTCAAAATTACTTAGTGTGTTTCTAGGAAAACTTGAATGCTGATAGATCATTGACACTTCTTCCCAAAATTTTGATATTTATCCCACTATTCTACATTTTTTTTTTGAAATTTTAAAACTGAATACGTGATTTTAATTTTTTAGCTCAGAGGCAATACAAATGAGGTTACTGTTGATTTGATAAGTAGTGATGAGAATAAAGGTACCCCTTGGTAAGGACATTTTGGGGCAGTGGCCACTTGAGCCCCAGTTTCCCTTGATGTAATATTGATTCTGCTGGAGTGTCAAACAGGACAATTACTTTTGATTCCCCTGAGCTGGTTTTTGAGAGCCACTATGACAAGAAAATACAGGGTCTGTTTGTGTGCGTTGGTTTAGAATTAAGTCAGCTGCACAAGCAGAGCATTGCCAGCCAGTCAGAATAGTCAGTAGAGTCCTGACTTAGAAATTACTTCCTTTATTCAGAAACTCCTCCCCAGGCCCCAGCACGCAAGGGTAGCTCAGCAGCCTCTTTTGCTAAGACTAAATGAGTACGAAGGAAGGGGCCAGGTCAGTGGGAGAGCCTGACTTTAAGGTTATAGTTTATGACTTGATTTTTTAACTTGTGTCTGTGGGCAGGATTTTTCTAGACGTTGGCTTTTCTTAAAGCATATTCCTTGAAGTCTTCAACTTGAAGAAAGTGATCTTTTTCACACATTCATGTCCACCACCAGCAGCCAGCCAGCCACAAGCCACATGGTGTGGAGTTCATTGTTTATCCCAAATTCTTGTGCTAGGCATTTTGACCCCTTTCTCAAGCTTTCCTGCTAAATGGATTTATTTAAAATTAAAAGGCAAACCTCACCTCATCTCAGCTGCTACTTACAAGTGAGTAGTTCCTCGAGTTTAAAAGCAAGGCGACCACAGCCATGAGTGGCAGAGAGGGACGGGGCGTCTCCCTTCTCCCCATCCCCACCAAGGGAAGGGGACCCCCAGACTGACCTGCTCGTTCAGGGAGGAGGATGACACAAGAGCGTCAACACTGTGCCGTCTCCCCGGGAGCAGCTGCCACATGGCCATGCTCTATTTGGCTGGAGAAAAAAGGTGTTCCCCACAAGCCAGGTCCAGGTTGAGATTGGCTCCTGTCCTCACAGGGGGATTAATCTGCACATGGCACAGCTAGATCGCTGCATCAGCGTGCATGGATCTGTGTATTCCAGGATGGAGCCAAAATCCACACCAAACAAAGACCCAGAGCTCCAGCATTGCAGTTTCCCTAGTTTATGGGAGACTGGGGACTGAGTCACCATTTATGGCATGGTTGCTGGGGAAGTGTGTGCTCACAGGTTCTCCCAAGCAGCGTGCAGCTGGCTTCCTATATTCGGGTGTCTTTTCTAGCTCCTGCCCTTGGTGTGGCCACCGTGCATTGTGCTCTACTGTGCAGCCGGGCAGCATGGGGACGGCAGCCTGCTCAGCCTCACCCCCAGGTGCAGGTGTGCTGGCTCCATGCGGGGTTCTGGCTGCTGCGCAGAGTGAACAGCTGAGCTTAACCACCTCTTAACTCTTCCCCAGCAGGATGGTCCCAGCCCCTCCACTGCAGACGGGAGCGAGCCCTCCACGACGACCACCAGCGCCTTCACCATCCAGGAGTACTTTGCCCTCCGGATGGCCCAGCTCCAGAGCAAGCCACGGCTCCCAGCTCCCCAGCCTGGCCTCTCGGAGACCCAGGTGGAACGGAAAAGCAGAAAGAAAAAACACAAAGAGGCGGCAGACAACCATGATGAAAATTACTCCCAGCCCAAGGCCAAGCGGTCTAAAAAGGACGAGAGCCAGGGCTGTGTGGCCAAGAAGAGAGGGCCAGCCGAGTGGCAGCCCAGAGGGCCCCGTGGGGATGAGCACTCAGAGGTCCCTGCTGAGGGCTGTGTGCAACCTCCTGGTGGCCAGGATTGTACCCTAAAGCCCAAAAAGAGGAGAGCAAAGGACAAGCCACAGAGGCCAGCAGAGGTGGCTGCAGATGCCACACTGGACAACGAAGGTCCCATGGTGAAAAAAAGGAAAAAGAAGAAGAAGAAAAAGAAGGAGGAGGAGGAGGCGGCGGCAGCTTCCAGGTGAGCTCCCGCCAGCCCGGGCCTTCCGACCACTCCGCTGTTGTGCTGCCGGGCAAACTCTTTGGCCTGGAGTCAGAGCTGTGAGCCCCACGCAGCTCGGGCATATCCTTCAACGTGCCCGTGGATTGCCGAGTCTCGCCCTCTCGCCACATTTCCCCAAGTCATTGTCCCGGGAGAGCAGTTTTAGCATTCCAGATCATGGCTCTTTATATAAACAAATAAATGTCTTTTTAAACTCTGAGCCCTTCACATGAGTGTTTGTGTGTATTCATATGCACACACACACAGTTGTGTATGAGTGCATGTGTGTGCACATCGATGTCCTGTCTGCATTTGCTCTGATTTCCTCCAGCAACCACGACAGTGCTCCTTCTGAAGGACCTGGTCTAATTAAGGGATTAAGAGCAGAGGTTTAGAGTCAGATAGCTCCTTCTGTTCTGTAGCCAGCCATACATTTCTGCCAAGGAGGAATTACATGACTGCATTCCCGAGCGAGAGGGCTTTTGTTGTGTTGTGCTTTGGCTCCTCTCTTGTGAGCAGTGGCAGCCGTGTGTGCTGCAGTCTTTCACCCACAGACCGACTCTGGAGACAGTTGATTTTCAGCTTTCATTAGAGGCCTCTGGCAGTTCCTACAGAGTCAGACGTGAGTCTGACTCAGTGTCCTTGAGCACAAATCACCCATGGTAGGCTCTGCTCCTTGTGTAGTGATCAGGAGGGCCTCATAAGATTCAGAGAACTGAGAAGTGAGGACCATGAAATTGATGTCCCTTCTGCATCTCCAGGCTGGGGCCGCCAAATGGAAGTTCTTCAAAGTGTAAACATTATGTACGTAATCGGACACTGTCAGCCCTGCTCAAACCAGGTGGTGATGCCCCGAGATGTCTGCACCTCCTCCTGCTGGCCTGCACTCCTGTGCCTGGCCCATCCCTGCCTATGCAGGCTCGCGGAACAAACGCAGGTGTGGGCTGTGTAGTGTAGCCCTGTCCCCCCAGCCAGGTCCTCCCCTGCTAGTCTCACTCATCTCTTCCTCCTCATCCTCGTGAGCTCTTGTTTCTTACTCTCTTGTTTTTGGTTCCAGGTTATCCTGGTCTCTTCCCATGCCCTGCTTCCTGTCCTGCTGGGGCAGTCTTCGCCACTGGCCCTGCTTCTGATGGGGTGTGGCAGGGAGATCTGGGCTCACTTTCTTCTCCACTTGATCTATAGATCACTGCTGGTGGCAGAACCAACACTCATGCTCTTCTGACCTTTTGCCCTTGACTTTAACTCTCAAGGTCAAATGTTACATAGGAAGCATGTCCCTGAAATAGACAAAATGCATGGAGAGTGTTTGGGTGTGGTCTCTAAGAACACCTTACAGCTCCTACCGTTAAAAAGACACCCCCGCCCCACCACATGGAGCAGATTCCTAAGGACTCAGCATGAAGACTCATGTGTTTGATCGAGTCTCCCAGGCCAGCCAAGTCCAACTTTCCTTCACAAGTTACAAATTACTTGTCCTTTGTCCCGTCTTGTACATGAAAGTGTAGATCCAGGAGGGAGTGGAGGTATTGGGGACCCAAAGGCACTGTTCTGACAAATACACAGGAATGATTTATTTTGCCTTGTGTTAATTTCATCAGCACAAATGAGAATACAACCTGGGAATCGTGTGTGGGAGTGTGTAGGAGGCAGGTGGGGGGCACTTGGTCCACCTGTCAGCAGGGGCTGGGAGGAGCTGGAGTGCAGGCCCTGTGTTTTGGGGTCAGGAAGTCCATACAGTCAAGGTTACTTCCTCAAATGTGGCTCTGCAGAGGGGACATAAACAGGTTGTTATTACCTTAACAGGTGCAGAAAGTACTCCTGGATGACTTGACAATCGATGGTGTCCTGAGGATGAGCCCATGCTTAGCAAAGAGTGGACAGTGTGACCATTTGATGTGCAGAGACACAGAGACTGTGTTCCCTAGAAATCCCCAGCTTTGTTTTTTCCATGTGTCTTTCAAGCTACTTAGTTTTCTGGATCTAAGTGGGAATTAGACCAATAAAATAAACACTCTGAGAATTGCATTTCTTAGCCCCAGTACTTTTTAAAAATTGTCAGCATATAAACCCTGTTTTTTACCTTGAAACATCTCTCTAGGTAAAAATTTCACCTATTTTTATATTCTTCAATGCTTTCCTTGGCATCCTTCACTCTTAAGAGGAAAAGTAGGTTCCCAGGGAAAAAGGTTCTTCCATGTTGTCTTGCAGCAAACTTCTTTCCTTTGCTATTTGTTTTAATAGATTATAATTATTAAATGAGGTCGTCCGTGCCTGGCCCTACTCCAGACACTTGAGTAAATCAACTCATTTAATCCAGACAACCCCGTGGGCGATCATTATTTTCATCCCCTTTACAGAAGCACCTCTTGCAATTTCTGTAACTAGATTTGTGCTGATCCTTAGACCCTAGACCCTGACCCTGTCCCCTCTGCTTGCAGTCATAGCCCCCACCTCTGTGCTCTTGGTCTTGCTCTTGCCATGTCAGTTGCTCCCGCCTGGGCAAGTTTTCCTGTTGCTGTTTCCTTCATGTGTGTTACAGGTATTATTCATATGTGGTGGAAAATGTTTTGGGATGCTGTATACATTCGAAATTCTCAATGGATTCTCCTTCCTAAGGTGATCAGGTGGTTGGTGGGAAATCAGGCAAGTCAGCTTCTTAAAACCTGTTTGCTAGTCTGTGAAAGAAAGAATCTATTCTGGTTTGTAGGAAGTATTGATGCCCTGGGAAGATAAGACCCAAGTGAGCGTTTGTTTCCTAGCACAGGACATTCCCCTATTTCTCCCCTCCTCCTCTGCTCCCTGAGTGGCAGAAGCAGGCTGAGACCTGTTAGTTTTTTTCTAAAGAAACAGCATCACAGAAGAGTTACAGCACAGTCTCTGAGTGATCTCAGCCCTTGGATCAGAATGTAGCGGCTGTATTTAGATTTGAGTAAGAACCTCCTCACTACCCGCCACCTTGTTATCTCATGGCTTCTGCAGCCACTGCAATTTGGAGCTATTGTGCTGGCGTGTGGAGCAGAGGTCAGATTGGGTGCTCTGGTGTGTGATTTTATGGTGCTCAATTATTAATGAGCAAATTAGTATCAAGTCATAATGAAGAGGGTGACTAAACCCCTTGCATAAACATACACATTCTGTTTAGGAAATACCTAGTAAACTCAAAGACTCACACAAAGCCTCATGGAACCAGTGAGAGTGGGGAAAGCCAGAGAGAGAGAGAGGTACGGCATTTGCAGGTGGGTGGGTGGGGACAAAGATTCTAGGCCACTGCAGTGGTGTCGGCCAGTGCAGAGGGCTGGCAGCCGTTTCCTCCCTCAGTTGAATTTTTGTGTAAGCATTAGTAATGAACTTTCAGGAAGACTGAACTGAATTCTTTAGCTGAGGGAAGGATCTTGTAATTAAATCTGAAGTTTTCTGTTTTTCCTACATTGGATTTCCTTTGAGAAAGCTACATGCATACTGAAACTGGTTGTTTCTTCTGAAAAAAAAAAAAATTGAGTGTCAACTTTGGGTTATAGGCTAATCCAAGGTAGAGTGATTCACCCTTTGCAGAATTTAACCATATCCAAGTCCTATAATTCACGTCATTTAGAATGAACCACCCGAAATAGCCTCAGCATGACTTACCCAGGACCTCCCTCCTCTCCCTTGGCATCAATCTGTGCTGTGAGCTGGGAGAAATTCTTTGCTAACTCTTGATTTGACTTCAACCTGAGAAGCACTTTCCACTAAAATCCCCCATATCAGCGGCATCCCTGACTGGTACGAATGGGCAGAATGTGCCATGTGCATTCCACCACACATACTGCAAGAGGAATGGCTTTTGCCTGAGTGGGAATCAGTCTGAGCGAGTCTTCCTCCCAGGCCTCCTGCCTAGCATCTGACAAGGGGTCTGGCGTGGAAGCAGTGGGGAAGTGGCCTTACTCCACCCCCTGCCAGGGATTCCCCCTTGAATCTAGGTGGGACAAAAACAGGTATTAAAACATTTGTTAAAAGGCCCACTCCAGCACCAGATCTTGGAGAAGTGAGTTGTGAGCTATCTGGATGCTCTACAGCAGGGTGCTTTTGTGAGCACCTTCTACCTTCATCCAGACAGGTATTGTGGGTGCAGGCAGTATGCGGGGAATTTCTGTGCCTTCCTAGTTTTGCTGTAAAGCTAAAACTTCTCCAAGAGAAGTCTTTATAAGAAAGCAAAAAAAAAAAGTCCTGACATGAAGCTGAGAAACCAAACACAGGAGACCACCATCGTCCTCTCAGGTAAGGATGGCCTGGAGTGCCATCCTGGGTGCTGCAGAGCCATTGCCAGGGCTCCCAAGCCTCCTTCCATGTGCCAATAACTCTCAGGATTGACAAGCACAGGATGAGCCACAGGAAGGTGTGGCCAGGTCATCCTAAAGGCAGCAGAGTCCCAGGAAGGTTTAGGGCTGGCCAGGAGAGGTGGTAACCTGTGAGCAGGCCCTGGGGCAGGGCTGGGGCTTGCTTACTTTGACTCAGACTTCTCAGGTGACAGGCTTCAGGATCCTGCCCTTGCCTGGGACTCCTGGGCAGCCCCAAGTCAAGCAAGTTGTTGCAATTTAGCCTGGAGAGATTGCAAAACCCTGCTGTGCTGAGGCAGAGCACTGCCCCTCTGAGCTGAAGAAATGATGTCAATAGAGCCAGGAGAGAGCTGGAAGAGCCCAGATCCCTCAAATCCACCTTGAGGTGCGATCACCTCAATCCGGTAATATAAAGTTCCCTTTTTTTTTTTTTTTTTTTTTGAGAGAGAGAGAGAGGATTTTTTAATATTTAGTTTTTAGTTTTTGGCAGACACAACCTCTTTGTTGGTATGTGGTGCTGAGGATTGAACCCAGGCCACACGCATGCCAGGTGAGTGCGCTACCGCTTGTGCCACATCCCCAGCCCATAAAGTTCTCTTTTAAAGGTAAGTTCATGGACAGTGTAAAGGAGTGTTGTTTTAATTTTGGTTTGTAACTCCGCTTTTAATTTTCAGCAGAATTTAAAAGAAATTCCTTAAAATAAATATAAACCTGTTTATGGATATGCCGTACATACAGATGTGAGTTATGACACCAAAAACAATGTGGGCTGAAGGAATTGTTTTGTATGATTAAAGTCCAGTAGGTGACAATTTAAGATTGATTTTCTTGGCTTTAGGATGTTATATTTAATCTCCCTTGGATAACTACAAAGAAAATATCCGTAGGATACACAAAAGGAAGT